TTTCTTTGTGTGTGTGTTGGCAGAGTGATGACAGTGAACAGAAAACACACCCCGAGGACACATCTACACAGTCAGGGTTCTGTATGTGTGTGTGTGTGTGTGTGTGTGTGTGTGTGTGTACAGCAGTAATTAATCATAATGTGCTCTTATTGATCGTCTGCCCTCTTTATTCTCCACTCGCCTGATCAATAAATACAAGTCGTCTGAAGCATCTGTGATACTACACACACACACAACCATCACACAACAGAGTACTGGTCAACTACAGTACACACAACCATTCACTGTACAACACATACAGGATGTAGTACAACTCTATAAACAGCTGTCATACTACTACAAACACAATACCTACAGATATTTGTAACAAACTTTATCCACAATTATAACTGCGTTCACATCAAAACACAGTAACACCAACACGTACTACTGCTACGTAAGTAACAACTACAGTACTAATACTTGGATTACAAAGACTACACCACAGACACACAATACTTTACATAATACCTGAGCAAATACATAAGTACACACATCATGGTTACAGTATATACACGATGAATACAAAACTATATCTTATTGTAAACAAGTACTACACAACACCTAAAGTTGTACAAACCTACAGAATTATACACTGAACTACTACACTGTACAACTGTACAGACTTGTAGACAAATACTACGATTCACGTACACGATATGTACACAGTATACTGTATATACGGTATATGGTATACATATAACTACTTCAAACTATAAAAACCCATGTGTATTTATCTTTAAGTATGTGTATACACTATTACTACTGCAGAACTATGTACAATTAAAACAACTACAGTACACTGTGAATACAGTATTACTCAAACACACACAAAACTAACTGTAACTCTAATATTTACAGTCAGTACTACATCAGTATAAACAACCACATGTCTCCTGTAGTGGGTACTGTACGTGTGTGTACGTGTGTGTGTGTGTGATGTTGACAGCATCACACCTGCTGACGACCCCACAGGGCATGACCTTTAACCTATCAGAACCCATAAGGACACGTGGTTACCACGGGGACAGGGGTTTCCTGCCAAGGTGAGGTGAAAGAACTGGAGGAGGAAAGAGACGACTTCCTGTTTCTGTCTGACCAACGCAGAGGCCGGGAACCACAGGTTCATCCAACAAAATGCACACAGAAGCTGCCGGTCAACTGCTGCCTCGTGTGGTGGCCTTGTGTCACCGAGGCAAACTCCCAAACAACACATTTAATCTCTGATTTTTTTTTCTGTATATCAAAGTATAAATCCTCATTCAGCTTCAGTTTGAAAAAAATGAAGTGAACATAGACAGCGGGTGGCGCTATTTGACAGCAATAAATGAACTCCACTTCAAGAAAACCACAAACTATCTCTTTAAAGTGTTAACAACAAGTTTATATTTGAACATCAAAGGTGTGGAAAAATGAGCCATGGTAAAAAACCTCGGGTTCTGCCTTTACACAACTTTACAGTAATCTGTGGACACACACACACACACACACACACACAGACCTGGGTGGAGCTGCACTTATTTTATTATTTTTTCAATAAACTAGTCCTCCCTTTTTTGTTACCTCCCGTCCCCCCATTTTTTCCCTCTCTCTCTTTCTCTGCCAGTGTGTGTGATGCTCGCTCGACCTCCCTGTCTCTTAAGTATTTGAGTCTGAATGAAACCATCTGGTTTTGATCAGGACAGAGAGAGAGACTGTGGTTGCAACACACACACACACACACACACACAGCTGCATCTGAACATGTGATCAGAAACAACACATTTCTGGTCGTCGTGGTAACGACAGAAGCGCTGAGTCGTCGACAAAGACAGGAGGGTTTTATTAAAATGTCTTTGTTCTTTTTTACCCCTGAAGTGTTTGAACCTTCATGAGATGCTGATCAGATCACTGACATCTGAGCAACAGCTGATCTCTGACTGAACAAACTTCACACACACACACACACACACACACACAGAAGGAGAGCGAGAGAGAGATAGAGAGAGGGGAAGAATGCATTTAGTAGAATGTGAAGTATGTGTTTAAGTGTGTGTTGTTTATAATGTGATAATGGTGGTGGTCTCCGTCCTCTCCCTGTGTGTATGTGTGTATGTGTGTATGGCCTATAGTGTGTAGTCCTCTGACAGAGAGCGGTTTGTTCACTTGGACTCCACAGCGAGCTGCAGCAGAATGTTAACGACACTGAACACAGAGGAAACATGGAGGCGCTCTGGCCGCGCTGCGTCACCATTACAGCAGAAAAAGTGTGGAAAACACCGGAGAGATGAGGAAGATGGATGGAAAACAAACGGCTGAGGAATGATTACAGGAACCGGCGAGGAACGTCGAGAGAACATGTGAAAAGACTGCGAGCCGTGTCATTAAAGCAAAGGAGAAGAGCAAAAAAAAAAGAAAAAGAAAAAAAGAAAAATTAAATTAGAAAAATATATGAAAAATATTTTTTGAACATTCTGATAATGACAAAAGAACCACAGACCAGAAACATGAAAAAAATCAGAGAGAGAGGAGCGTGGTGTTGGAAACGACTAATGAGAAAAAACATGAAAAAGATGAGAAACATGAAAAGATATACAAAAACAAAGAGAGATAAAAAAGAGATGCTGAAAATGAAAAGTGTGTGATCTAGAAACCTCTTCATCGAGACGTAACAGGTGGACTCTGGGTCGAGACGGAAACGTTTTAACGTTAAAGAAAAGTTAATAAGACGGAGAAGAGAACTTAAATCTGTGTGTGTGTGTGCATCAGTGATTACAATAATCCAGAGTTGCGTCTTAAAGATGAAATTTTCATCTTTCATCTCCATCTGTCCTGCAGGAAACAGCTGCTTCCTCACACAACGGAAACTCCTCCCACTTTAATTCTGTCTCTAGGCTCCGCCCCCAAACAGACTCATCCTGCAGCGTGGAATAACTTTCCCATCATTTTGATTTAAAAAAAAAAAGTTCTTTTTACTCACACTGTCAACAAACTCAAATATCCTACATTAGTTAAGATGCAGAAATGAACATTAACTTTACATCTACATGTGTTTCACTTCATTTAAAATATTTCGTTTTCTATTTTTGGTCAAATTTTAACTATTTTTGGGCTAACTCTGTCACCCTGTTTTTTTCGGTTGAACTTTATTTATTTGGCTTGGCTCAGATCTTTTTCGCCACAAACATCGAGGTAAAAGTTGTTTTTCAATTTTTTTCAA